GACTTTTGACAGAGCAGACTATCGTGTGGACTGAGCCTTACACACTTGTATAAATATGTTGAGAACCTGTTCACCCTAAGTGCACGTTACCAACACTTGTGTTACTCATTATGTGCAGGCTTTTACTGAAGTTACACTTGAAGCTCCCATGGGACGTGATGCTCAGAGGAGATTTTCGTTTCCTCGGCAGCAAATCAAAGAAAAGATCAGGAGGAAATAGAACAGGTTGAGAGCAAGCACAGCTCAACACACTTATCCCACCTGCGTGTCCCGAGTCGCACTCCTCCAGGTCCTCGTCGTCGCTGGAGCACTCCGCCGATGAAACGATGTCATCTGTTGTCTGCTGAGAAAGTGACACACGCAGACGCACACACACACACACACATATTGAAAAATGTGGTTAGACTCGGGGGGGCAGTATAGCGTGTCCTCATCTCGCTCGCAGCCTTTCAATTCAAGGATATCTGTACGCACACAGACTCGCCGCCTGTCCTTCGGCTTCCATATATCACTTGGGGTCAATCGTATTTCACGGTGTTTATCATTCTTCACTTTATGAGCCTTCCGCCAACGCAGATAATTGTTTTCCTTCCTCCTCCCCCCTCCCATTATTTATCGCCCTTCTCCTCCTCCTCCTCCTCCTCCACAATCAATGGCCCCACCGAGCCTTCTCAGATCAACGCCGACCCAGCTCCTGATTTGTGCTAAAGGGTGTGAAAGGAGGGAAGAAGGGAAGGGGCGCGGGCCCTGCTAGCTACAGCCGGACCGGCGATGGATTATCTGCGCCCTCCAGTTCCGGCGCAATTTAGATTTATCCACGATCCCTCCCTCCTGCTTTTCCCCGTCGAACAGGTCGACCCGTGGAGGACTAGGGTGGGGTGCGGTTGTATTTCAGCGGCGGTGCACTGGGCAGCCGCTGTTTATTAGAATGAATCAGCGGGGTGATAAAATAAGCCCTGTCACCAGGCGGCGTTATGAAATCAAAGTGCTGATTGAGTTTTCCAGGGCTGGCCGAGGATGTGGGGTTCTAAATATCATTGAGTTTGACAGAATAATGAAACGCGCCCCCGTGCTTGTGCGGCCGCCTTCAGCGAGGCACACGGAGGAAGCAGAACGCAGTGGCCTCGTGCACACGCATGCACGTGCACGCGCACTGCACTCAAACATACACAAGCTTGTTGCCGTTGACCATAATGCTCTACCTCACAGGGAGCCAGTAGATTTTTCAAAGCACACTCCTAATGCGTCCTATAACTGTGCATTATGGGCCGTCGAGCTGCGCTCTATCAGAGTATTGCGTAACGCACGTTAACGCCTGTTGCAGCCAGTGTGCATAATGCACCAAATTATGTTATGTACTCCAGCGTGAGGGAGGCAAAAACGGGGACGCTGTAAACTAAATTGCTGTTAGATGTAGCCCCCTTGGTAAATATGACATTATTTATTGAAGTCACATTATGAGCGTAAAAGTCTCGGTTATTACTGAGAGAGGGTGGGTTTTTTTTTTTCTTCTGTTACTACCACTGCAGTGAGGCTCTGAGGCAGGGAGGAAGCAGAGAGGGACAACTGAAAACCCTGAACTTCACATCTGTTCCATTGCATCATAACACACGCCCTGACTTTCTCCTGTCCGTTTTTTTTTTTTTTTCCGCTGCGGTTCTTTGCACCTTTTTATAATGACTTTCATCATCATCATCATCATTACGCAGTCTTGGCTGCGGCAGCTACACAACAAACTCGTGTTTACTGCGGTGTTTGTGTGTCACAAAAACACACTGGTTGATATCTTACTCAAAAGGGAAATAAATGGTCATGAATAAACAATAGGACCAGAATCTTCCCGTGTGAAATCCGCAGTAAAATAATTAAGAGTTAAGTGGAGTGGAGTGACGGCGGCCAAAAGAGGACAAAAACCCTGAGAAAACTGAATTATTTGTTGTGTTTTCAAAAACAGTAACCAACATTAAGAAATCATTTGGGAGTCGCGACTAAACATTTCCCTTTACGAGATTAACTTTAATCTTTTTTTTTTTCAATTTTTTTTTCTTTCATTTTTATTGGTCTCATTAAACAGAAGTTGAAATATCAAGTACATCAGCAGTCAAACTGCAGACTCTGTGACACTATTCAGTGTGTGCAGTTAAAGCCTGGGTGTCACGCCGTCAACTCCTCAGTGGTGTGATGACAAGTACGTCTGTGCTGCCAATAAAACAAATAGTGTTGCCGGTTAAAAATGACAGGATTTAGTTAAACGCTGATTTCTGCGTTCACATTTGTGTGTGTTTTTATACTCGACGCGGTGCACAAGGGGAGGATTGAGTGACTTGTTATGGACTCATTTTACCGCAGCCCTAAAGTCTGGGACTGAACAAATAGGCTACTTTGTGCTTTATTGAATTTCTGCTCATAAAGGTGTTTAAAGCCTCAGACACAAAAATGTTTATCATCTCCGCTCACTCATCTGCACACCGACCATGTAGAGCTGAAAACATGCACTGAACCAAATCCCCGACTGCTTTTCTTGTTTGGATTCCTGAGGTCGCTCTCTTGTCTCAACATCTTTGGTTCCGTTCGGTGAAATTGAAGAGACTTTTCAGCCGTGACACTTGACATTTGTAGCTGTAGACTGAGATCACTTTCATAAACATATGATGTATCTCTGTCCATCACAAAAGCTTAGAATGGAGCACGTGTCACGAGCGGACCACGGGAGGCCATTTTTCTGCATTTGGCCCTAACGCGGAGACAATGAAGTGACGCCCGGAGCTCAGTCTTCTCACAGTTGACCAGATACGCTGATAATAAAATATGAGGCTAGATGATGTATAAATGCAAAGGGAGCTCATGGAGCGGAAAAAGGACGTAGACTGCATTGGTGCGGTGATGGGAGGCGGCAGCAGGCTGAAGCATAACGACGTGGTTGACCAGCAGGACTACAAAAACTGATTTCACAGCCGGGGAATTCCAATTCCCGGTCTAAATCTCCATAACACAGAGGGGGATATATTTGGGCAGCAAAGTGATTCCTTCTTTTGGTGTAATTATTCTCAACAAACATTCTCCTCCTCCGTTTTCAGGGAGTCTGGGATTTATGGGTCAGCTCGGGAACGTGAACTGTACGCGAGGATTTTGGGAGCGCGTGCATCCCGGCCGGTTATCCTCATTACGCCGCGTTCAGATGAAGCTCGAAATTCTCCTCATCTTTACACAACCAACACCCCACACACCAAAATCAATAGCCAGGGTTCATTAAAACAGAATTTAGCTTTGACCAGCTCAGCACATCAGCTCACTAATGATCAATAAGCACAGAGACAGGGCTTTCTGTCAAAGTCTTAAAATATACAACTTTGTCACAGCTGGTGGCACAAACAAAAATGAGAAGCAGTAAAAAAAAAAAAAAAATGCTGCAGCCTTGACAACACCTTTCTGCTGGTTTTACCACAAATTCTCAACCCACTAATGTGAATCAGACAGGAGCGATGGGCCGCCATTAAGAGGCAGAAAAGTGCAATTACCTTAAGTGTGTGAGAAAAAGAGCATCGCTAAATCGCTAGGCATGACGGGGCTGCACGTTAGCAGTGTAAATAACAAAATCCAAATTGAACACAGGTTAAAATGATGCAAAACTACAATGAGTTATATAGAAGGATTTAATCAGTTGAACCCAGATTTCTGAGAAAACGTTGGTACATTTTCCTGCGGGCCTAAAACACTAGGATGAAAAAAGGTTAACTATTGCATTTGAGGCGAATTGTCATAAAATTCCCTCTACAAACTGTCATGATAACGTTTAATAGGCCTCCGTGGACTTTATAAAAGACACAGCTAATTTTTTTAATAATGTAAAAACATGTACTCTGAACATCACAGAAACCATTTCAAAAGATCTGTTTAATATAATTTTAAAATAAGGAAAATAATTGTAGAATAAAAAAATAACTCGTTGAAATTCCAGTGCTTTTACAGAAAAAAAAGAAAAACTTCCATCTATTTTCCATCATTTTAAAATTGCCCAGGAAATGGCCCTCAATTCTTCCTCAAAACATATTTTGACAGCAGCAAACCGGGGGAACGGCATTATTTCTACTTTGTTTTCCCAACGTTATTTGGCCATATAATGGATTTAGGAAAAAAAATACGTTGGAAACTAAATCTAGACTAGTCAGAAAAAAGTATGGGGCACTTAAAATACCAAAGTTTCAAAGTTTGAAGAGTTTGTCCTTTACTGACTACAAATGTCTCTCCACATCCTCTTCAGTACGTTTCATATACACAATATAAATCATTAAAAAGAGCCTTAGACTTCTGTCTTGTTAAACACAAACTTCTGATTCAGGAGCATATATAAGGCTGTGCCAGACATGGAGTTTTACACGGTTACACTTTTTGAAATCCTTCACATCACCCTTCCTGCGCTGCGACCCAGTAATGAAACACCGTCACTGTTTATTAGCTTATCAGCAAAAGTCACGCAGCAGGCTGCCACAACCTGCTGCATCAGGCAGATAAATGCAGCTGCTCTTTCACAGATTTCTTTCACAGCCGAAGAGAAAATTCCCAGTTCAATGCAGCCGGGCCTCATTCTTACAGCGCGCCGCTGTTTGATGTTACACAAAGTTTTTCCAAATCTGTGTATACTCAGCACCGCTAAACTGTATGCGGCTGCGTGAGCGTGCAGTGTAAACACTCCCACTCTTTACACCTGGAAGTGAGAATTAATGACTCTTCAGAATACAACCTGAGTGCCTGACTACGGTCCAATTAAAATAGCATGCTATATATGTACATTTATAGTTTTTTCTTTTTTAAACCTAGTGGGTGCAGCTTATATTCAGGTGTGCTCTGTAGTCCGGAAAATACGGTAATAATTCCATCATTTGGTTCAGCGATATACTGACATTTGAAAAAAAAAACATATTTAGGAATGTTGTAAAAAAAAAAAATCATATTTAGGGAATGTTGATTCATTTTGGTCAATCGTGATTATCAGTGACTAATTCTAACTATTTTTCCATCATAAACTTTTTAAAAATTTAACAGCATGACACCAAGTCATGACAGCAAGTGTTGGAATTGCTGAAACTACTTAAAGAATAGTTTTTCCTACAGATATCATCAGCTGAGAAAACTGAGTCCATCTAAGCTAACTGGAACAGCTGCTGCTTCTGCAGTTTGAATATTCTGCTGAGCATGACGGTGATTTGATGGGTCACATCAAAGCAACAGCTAACGCCTGGCAGAGGAAAAAAAAAAAAAAGCCCAGATGATATAATGTACTCTGTAGCACTGTGGCGTATTCCCCCCGGGTTGGTAAAAGTAAAGCAGAGCAAAGGCTAA